AAAATCATGCCCACTTGGCTTGCACCACTGTATCCGGCAGATGCTTTTTAATTTTAAGTATTAATGGCTATTACTAGTATCAGTTAACTAAAGGCTGTTAGAAATATTGTCAAAGGCTTTATATGTATGTAACATTACTTAATTTGAGGAAAGTAGTAACTTTAGGTGGGGCAACCTAAAATTCTGATTCGCAACCTAATTTTTGCCGTAGGTTGGGCAACCTGGTTCAAAAAAGTATTTTGTACACTGGTCACAATTTATTAAAACATCATGAAAAACATCAATTGTAAACTTTAAAGACTTCATACCTAAATAGTAATGCAAGGGTAGAAAACAAAGTTGATGGTTGAAAGTCAGAATGTGGAAAATCACACATCTAACGTTGTTACAGGGTATAATCATCATCATCATCATCATAGTCCTTTTCGTCCTGACAGACATTCAGTTCACTGTCATAAGTTCACAGGTCACTTATAATAATAAGTTATTATGATAATACCAGAATCTCAAGAATGTCCTATATAGTCAGGGGTACCCTGTGTTGTTGAATTGACCTCCATTGTATCAAGGTATTGCAAATACTGAATAATATGCAAATCACTCTGCATTGATATGAATTTGTATTCTATCAGAAGATGATAGTAGTGAGAAACTAAAGGTGATATTATACTCTTTGAATTATGTATACAACATGTATAAATGGCACTAGTAATGTACAATCTTTGTCTAGTTGGCTGAACCCAAGATACAGAAGCTTGAACCCCACATGCTGTATTATGATGAGATGCCTGGAAGCATGAGGTAAGTACACATGTAGTTCATCTCATCATCTCATAGCTAATCATCCATTTCAAACTGTTTACCCTGAAATAGAGCGTCATACCATACATTATCATTTTAGTGGAGCAGATAACTGAAATAATCTTTCAAATTGTGATACAAGCACCAAACTTGGTACAAATACTCATGAGACATTAAGTCCTCTGAAAAAGTACGCGGGCCACTTGATTTGACTTTTGGCGCCTCCTAGCGGCGCTTTTTGGTACTGCAGTCGACCTTCCGGGCTTTGTATCTCCTGTTCTAAACATGCTACAGTCATAATTTTCATGTGGTAGAAAGCTGTTGGGGTAAGGAAGAAGTGACGTAAATTTGGTGTCTCTAGCAGCTTGCGTTGGGGCATTTTTTGCCGGTGCACAATTTGCTCCAAGGGCGCTCTTTGGTACTGCAGCCGATCAAAAAGTCCTCAGGAGCAAATTGTGCACCGGCAAAAAACACCCCTGCAGTTCCAATGCAAGCTGCTAGAGACACCAAATTTACGTTGCTTCTTCCTTATTTTAACAGTTTTCTACCACGTAAAACTAAAAGTCATGACTGTAGCATGTTTAGCAACAGCAACAGGAGATACAAAGCCCGGAAGGTCGGCTGCAGTACCAAAAAGCGCCACTAGGGGGCGCCAAAAGTCAAATCAAGTGGCCCGCGTACTTTTTCAGAAGAGCAATGTCTCATGAGTATTTGTACCAAGTTTGGTGCTTGTATCACAATTTGAAAGATTCCTCCAAAATTTGATGTTATCTGCTCCACTATTTGTACAAAATATCTGATGAGGCATTCT